TCCTTCCAGTCACAACATGATTCTATGACCTTTTTTTGTGGTGGTTGTTTAGCAAATCACCATGGTTATTAAGTCCACATCATGAGTTGAATCAATGGTTTGCTTTGGTCTTGGCTTTGCCAAAACCTGGAAGTTGAATATTGGTTTTGGCAAAACCGTAGTACAGGTGGTCCTCAACTTACAATGACAATTGAGCACAAAATTGATGTTGCCTGGTGAGACTTTTGTTAAATGAGCTTTGCCCCGTTTTACGATCTTCCTGGTCACGGGTATTAAGTGAATCACTGCAGTTGTTAAATTGGGAACACAGTTGTTAAGTGAATCTGGTTTCCCTATTGACTTTGCTTGTCAGAAGGTTGCAAAAGGAGATCACATGACCTTGGGATGCAGCAAAGGTCATAAGTATGAACCAGTTGCCAAACATATGAATTTTGATCGCATGATCATGGGGATGCTATGAAAGTTGTAAGTGTGAAAAATGATCATAAGACTTTTTTTCCAGTGCCATGGTAACTTCGAACGGTCACTAAATGAACTATTGTAAGTCAAGATGCTACCTGGGGGCTTGAGTTTGTCATTTTTTTCCCAAAGTGATTTTTCTGAATGCATTATATCCTTGTTTACTGCCCAGAGTTCTTTTGGTAGCTTAGATGGCTCTTTAAATTTCATGAATGAATTTCAGCACATGACCTCCTTCCTTCCCACAAAATGACGCTATAGAGTACTGCACATCACCACAACCAGACACAAGGACAGTTTTTCCCCGAAAGCCATCACTCTGCTAAACAAATAGGGGCCTGGAGGCTAAAACATACAATGAACGGTTGCAGGAACTGGGCTTGGCTAGTATAGTAAAGAGAAGGACCAGGGGAGACATGATAGCAGTCTTCCAATATTTGAGGGGCTGCCACAGAAAGGAAGGTGTCAAGCTATTTTCTAAAGCGCCTGTAGGCCAGACAAGCAATAATGGATGGAAACTGAACAAGGAGACATTTAACCTGGAAACAAGGAGAAACTTTCTGACAGTGAGAACAATCAACCAATGGAACAGCTTCCCCTTGGAAGTTGTGGGAGCGCCATCAGTTGAGACTTTCAAGAAGAGATTGGACTGCCATCTGTTAGGAAATAGTGTAGGGTCTCCCACTTGGGCAGGAGGTTGGACTAGATGACCTACAAGGTCTCTTCCAACTCTGATTATCTGTATCTGTAAATAATTCCATCAACACTGGTCCAACTATTTACAAAGTCTGCACTACTATTACTGTTAAACTTCTCATCGCTCCTTATCGCCCATCCCCTCCCACCTATGACTGTATGACTGTAACTTTGTCACTTATATCCTTACGATTTATATGGACTGTTTCCTAGTATTTGATTGTTTATTGTACCCTATGATTATTATTAAGTGTTGTACCTTATGATTCTTGACTCTTGATGAATGTATCTTTTATGTACACTGAGAGCATTTGCATGAAGACAAATTTTTTTTGTGTCCAATCACACATGGCCAATAAAGAATTCTATCTATCTATCTATCTATCTATCTAAATTTCATGAATGAATAAATAAGCAAATGAATGAATGAATTTGCTGGCCAGTCCCAGCAAAAACTATGGCAGAATTATTTCAATTCCTACTCATGGCGTTACTTATTTTATTCCTCTTCTCCCTCCAGGAAATCTTAAACAGCTTGCAGAGGTAAGCGGATCCCGTCTTTCCATTCCCCATTTATTATTATTTATTTATTTGTTATTATTTATTATTACAGTTAGTCCTCAACTTACGGTCTTGAGACCCAAAATTTCTGGTGTCAAGTGAGTCGTTTGTTAAGTGAATTTCCCCCTTCATTTTATGACCTTTCTTGGCACCGTTGTTAAGTGAATTGCTGCAATCGTTAAGTTAGTCACACGGCTGTTAAGTGAATCTGTTTTTCCCCCCGTTGATTTTGCTCATCAGAAGGTTGTAAAAGTGTTCAGAGTATTGCAGCATAAATTCAGCGCCAGAAAAGTAAAACACATGACTGAGGCTTCATTTAACTTCTTTAGAAACATATAAAGTAAATTTACAATACCAGTTGTAGATTTCTCCAACATGGAGCAAACTCAAACAGAAACAGACACGTTACAGGTTCAGAGCAGATGTCATGACCCAGGGCTTGACAAAAAAATAATAAAAGTCACCAAAGTAGAATAAATTCCCTTGAATGCCTCCAACCTGGCCCCAATGTCCAATTATCCTCAGCTGGAGATCAAACTCTTCAAAAAACAATCTATGAAGCAGAGGTGCTATTCAGCTGGTTCGCACCTACTCGGGCGAACCGGTAGCAAGAATTTGGCATGGGTCACCAATCCGGTAGCAACATCGAGCTGGCCACGCCCCCAACCTGGTCGCCCAGTTTCCGTTTACTCGCTTGTCCCGCCCACCCGATGCTCGCTGCCCCAGTTTAAAGGAGGACTGCTCCCCGGCCCTAGCCATGCATTTTCAAGCAGCCACTTGAAAACACATGACTGTGGGCGGAGCAACGTCCGTTAACCTGCAAAACTGTTCCAAGGCTGGATTCTTCATGGATACTAGAAGTATCGCTTCCCCTTGTGATTAAAGTGCCTGGAGCGAGAGGGAAAGAACGCTGGGCGGGGGGGGGGGAATTCAGCCATGGGGAAGTTTGCAGGAGCTTCAAATGCAAGTCCGTTTACTTGCAGAACTTCTCTAATGCTGGATTCACTTCCCCTTGTGAGTAAGGTGCCTGGAGTGAGAGGGAATGGAGGCTGACAGGGGTGTTTGTGTGTGTGAGAGAGAGAAGAAAAAAAGAAAGAAAGAAAGAAAAAGAAAGAAAGAAAGAAAGAAAGAAAGAAAGAAAGAAAGAAAGAAAGAAAGAAAGAGGAAGAAAAAGAAAGAAGGAAAAAGAAATAGGGAGAGAGTGTGGTGTGTGAGAGAGAGAAAAAGAAAGGAAGGGAGAGAAAGACAGAGACAAAGAGAAAGAAAGAAAAAGAAATAGGAAGGGAGAGAGAGACAGAGAAAACTCTGTTATTGTTTTTAATTGTTCCATTATTTATCATGTGTTAATATTTTACACTGTCCCTACACCTAGAGTGATTCTACTGCCTTTCTTTTGCCCAGGGCTACCACATATTTTTCAGGGTTTACATGCATTCAATGTCTATAGTCCATAGCATAAATACATGTGTGTTTAACAGAGTTGAAAGGGAGTTTGGAGATCTTCTAGTCCAAGCCCTTGCTTGGGCAAGAAAACTGAGGATGCCAAATTCTTAAGTAGAGGTCCTGGGAAAGGTGTCAGAATAACACTTAGAAGGGACTTTTGGGGGAACCCTATACCATTTCAGAGAAATGGCTGTCCAGTCTTTTAAAAATTTCCAGTGATTGATCACCCAGAACTTCTGGGGACAAGCAGGTCCACTGATCAATTGTTCTCACTGTCAGAAAGTTTCTCCTTAGTTTTAGGTTGCTTCTCTCCTTGTTCAGTTTCCATCCATTGCTTCTCGTTTGCCTCCTGGTGCTTTGGAAAATACATTTCCCCCACCTGTCTTTGTGGCAGCCCTTAAAAGCCAGTTGCCTATATCACACTCTTGAGGAAAGCATGTGAGCTATTTTCTCCCTTCAGTGGTCCATGAAAGTACATCTATAGTATGTAGATAATGAAGTCAAAAAAGGTGAACATTTTTTTAAAACAAATTTTATTGATTTTACAAACAAACAAAACATAAAACATAGAAACATAAAACATCTTTTCTGAAAGCAGCTTAATCCTGGGTTACATCTCTTCATACAGACACAAATTCAAATTCATGCTCATTTTATATACCATCCCATATCTTATTGCCATTTTACATTTTCTATATAGCTTCTCCCCTCTTAACTTTCTTAGTTTTATTTTATTTATCTCATCTCAGTTCAGATCATTATACTTATATTCTTTGTCTGTCCTGTTTCCAGCTGTCTATTATCTTTTCTCTCTAAACAAAATTTCTCCTGTAATCACTGATTGGAGTATGACGCCTTTATCTCTTTCCCTTAAATTTATAACACTTAGTATAGTACATAACTTCCATTTGGATTCTGCTTAGTACATTCTAAAATTACACACTATATTTTAAAAAGAGAAAAAATTATATAATATAATTAAAACAACAATCCATACCAATTCAAATCTATCATTAATATTAATATTCATTTAAATCTTAAACATTTTACACATTACTTTTCAGTTAAGTATCATACTTCTATGGGAACGCTTATAAACTTTCCATAATCATTTCCCCCCCCACTTCACTTATATTTTAGTACATTATGTCATTAAGATGTTCCCATTCCTTCCTAATTCAATTCTCTCATTTATTCCATTTCCTTCCTTTTGTTCACAAAAGTTTCACTGAATTACACTGAGTATTTTATCCCACTTTTTAATCACATGTTGTTTCCAATTTTCTAACATTATTTCTAATACAAATATAACAATACAATCTTATGTACCTTTGCAGAATCGCTTTTCCAATTAAATTTTTACCCATTATCTCTGAGTAAGTCCTGTTTCTTTACATCTTGCTCCACACTTTTGAAGCTTCTCATCCCTTCCTTCCTCCCTTGCTTCTTCTCTCTGCCCTTTTTACCCCCTTGTCTCTCCACCTCCATTTTCCTCTTCTGTATTCCCCCTTTCTGTTGCTTTTTAACATATCCACTTTTCACCTTATTTTTCCCTTTTTTGGTTGTTTTTTTAGATCTTAAAGTCTCCATTTTCTTTTCCTCCTTTCCCCTTTCTTCTCCAAGTAAAATTACTTGTTCATTAAAGATGGCTTCTTCTTTGTCCCAATCCTCTTGTTGTGCAGTCCTTTCTTGTAGTTTCTCATAGGTACAGATTGCCATTTCTAAGAATTGAAAAAGAGAGCCAAGAGATCCCTTCCCTTCTTGTTCCTCTTCTTTGTATTTTTTAAATTCTGTTTTCAGTTCAACCACAAGTGATGACATTGTAAAAAAATTTTTTTTCAAACAACCACCCAAGTGTTTTTAGTCATTCAAATATAATTTCCAAAAGTCCCAAATCACCAAACAATCCAAATACACACAAGCTGTTCTTTTGACACTTTCTTCTTTTTTCACTTTCTCTTCCTGGGGTAACTGTTTAGTTACAAAATTCCAGTTAAAATGTATCTTTTAGAAGTCTTGTTAGTATTTCATCAGATTCTTTTAAGTTCTAGGCAGTCTCCTCCTTCCAAATCCTGCTCCATTCTTTTCCTTTCCCTTCCAACTTACAGCAATTTTTTTTTTAGTGTTCAGAAATCCTTATTATCCCCTTGACATTTAATTATCCAGTTTAATTACCTATTAATGCCAAAGCGAGTTTTTCCGATTTCTCATTCATTTCTGTTCGCTGTCAACGTTAGGAAGGAGAGTGGAAAAAACCCCCAAAACTTCCCCTTTTTACTTTCATTTGCCGCTTCCGAGTCTTCCTTGGGAACGATGTATCTTTTGCAAAATTTAAATTCCAGGGTAGCTTAGTTGTTGCTTTTTGTCCCGGTCAGCCAAAAACTTTCACTTCTTAACTTCCTCCTGCACTTTCTTTTCCGGCTAAGTGCTTCTTTGAGGCGGCCATTTCTGACCTCCACTCTTACCGCCTTTGGAAAAGGGAGTTTAGCCAGCTGGGGAGGAGAGGTGCGATTTCCCTCAACCCTGCCAGGTCTCCCCTATCTTCACCACCTCTACAGGGTGGCTTAGCCCCGAAGCCTGCTGGCTCAGGGCACTCCAGCGGCGAGCACAGGCAGAAATTGCGCACGATCGCGGATTCCTACCTGCCCCGAAGCGCTGCAAACCGGAACTCCAAGGTGAACAACATTTTTACAGAACTATAGATAAGTTGAGGCTGGGTGACAAGGAATGGCTGGGAGGGAAGAGGCCAGGTGAAGCACCCCTTGATGTGAGTGACATTGAGTTGGCCACGCCCACCCAGTCATATGACCAGCAAGCCATGCCTACCCAGGCACATGACCATTAAGCCACACCCACCCAGTCACATGACCACCAAGCCACGCCCACCAAATAAGCCATGTCCACAGAACCGGTAGTAAAAAATTTTGAATTCCACCACTGCTACGAAGGGCAGAAATGCAATCTGAACCCAAAGTAAAGATAATTAGAAATAAAAAAAACAAACACAAACTAACATGGCAGGCCAGGATGATAAATTGCAGACTTTCAAAGGATAACATGGCACCCACAGTTTGGGAGGACGCCAAAACCCAGATAAGGCACGACCAAGATAATGCATGCTTTGCTTCCAGCAAGGAGCCATGTGCAAATGCCCCCCTCCCCATATCCTGTTCTCCCAGCTGCAACTAATGAAAGGGATCAGGGCCTTTTTCTCTCTTATAAGCCATGTTGCTCCCTTCTCCGTTCCTCCATTCCTGCCCTAGGATGAAGAGGGGATGGCTCTGGGCCTTCGTCTGAACGCCCAGCCGGACTGTGCCCTTCCCCCGTTTCTTCCACAGCCACCGGAGCCACACTCCCAGTCCCTGTCAGCTGCTCAATCTCCCCCTCAGAATCAGACTCCAACAAGGGCATGACAGCAGAACAGCAACTCAACTTCAGCAGACAAAAAAACAGAGAGAGAAAGAGAACTTCTAGTTTCACTTTCCAGGTCAGCTCCCTTTGGCTGGTCTGTTACCATGCCTACTCACTGACTCTGTTAACCATGTCTCTGCCAGTTAATGAATACTCTGATAAAAAGGTGATCACCTGACATGGACACAATGCAAGAGTCATAAATATGAGTCAGTCGCCAAGCATCCAAATTTTGATCACGTGATTATGGGGGGGATACTGCAACGGTCGTAAGTGTGAAAAACAGCCATAAGTCGCTTTTTCCAATGCTATTGTAAATTTGAATGGTCACGAAATGAACTGTTGTAAGTCGAGGACTACCTGTAGAGAAAGGGATATCAGTGAACCTGCTGTTGGTCCTCCATATTCATTCTGAGCAAGGAGACTCTTAGTGGCATATTTTGTGAGGCCTCAAGCTCCTGTTTCATTGCAACAACGGAGCAGAGCAAAACCAGCATATGTCTATTCATGATGATGGGCACATGTGGCCCCTGAAAACCTTGGATGTTGCTAAAAGTCTGTAGAGATTCTCCATCATCCAGGTCATGGTTGTCCCAAAGGTGTTTTTTCAGGAGGCAACTGGACTTTCTTGTTTTTCTTTGAAGACATTTCACTTCTCATCCAAGAAGCTTCATCATTTCTGACTGAATGGTGAATGGATTTATATTCTTTGCAGACAGCTGGTCATTTGCATCCTTTTAGAGAGTTGTTGAGGCCACTTGGAAGTTTATCTGTGTCCTCAGAGTCAACTGAGTAGTGGAAATGGTTCCCGCAGTCTGCAGTTTTTCCTTTGGAAATCCATTCCTACTCCCACACCATTCAAAGGGTGTCCATCCCAAATTGGATAGCTAAAAGTCTGTAGAGATTCTCCATCATCCAGGTCATGGTTGTCCCAAAGGTGCTTTTTTCAGGAGGCACCTGGACTTCCTTGGGGGTTTTTTTGGGGTGGGGGGGAGACGTTTTGCTTCTCATCCAAGAAGTTTGACCAGCTCTGACTCTGGCAATTGGATGAGAAGCAAAATGTCTTCAAAAGAAAAAAAAAACATGAAAGCTATTAAGTCAACATTTCTCTTTGTCCTGGCATCACAGTTACAGTTGTGCTAGTCAGAAGGTAAATACAGCCCTTGGCTTGGAAAAAGCCATACATCACGAATGAAGGCAGATATACGTGTCTCAGGACAATGTTGCAGGATCCAATCTGGGTAGGTCGTTGGGGCCAAAGGTTTAGTCTTCTGAGCTTTTGTACTTGTGCTGAAGCCCATCTCAGGGAACTTCTCTCTCACCAGAATGTATATGTTTGTAGAGAGAAGTTCCCTGAGAATGGGCTCCAGCATGAGTCCCAAAGCTTGGAAGACTAAACCTTTGGCCCCTGTGACCGATCCAGATGGCATCCTGCAAAGTTGCACACCCTTCATATGAAAAAAAAAAAAGTGGGTGAGATGATGCTATTGTACCCCAAATTGCAATAGATAACCATTAGTAGGGCAATATATAGGTGTTCTGATCAAGGCTTCCTGAGACAGTAACAATCATATGCTTAGTCTCCCAAACCCTCTTTTTATTTCAACGGCTGTGAATTATATTCATTCACAGCCTGTAACGAGTCCCAAACAGTTTGTGAATAGTCCAACAGAAGTCTGCCACAGTCTTTCGGGATAAGGCTGATAAGCATCCACCTTTATCTCCCTTGAAAAACTGCCAATTAGCTGTACAAGACCAAACGTCAACACAGAGCTTCAGATTTTAAACTGACCAGAACTAACAAAGTTGCTTCCTGCAAAGGCTCAAGTCCCTTTGCACCTCCTTTATGTCTTATGGGAGGGGCCAGTCATCTCCAAGCTTTCTCCCAAGTTGCCCCTTTGTCTTAACTGTTCTTGCTTTCTGGCAGCTCTCTGCAAGCGAGCACTGGGAACAGGCATCTCCTGGAGGCTCTGGAGTTAGCACATAACTCTCAGATGGCCCTGGCCCCATCTCTGTGTTGGATGCAGGACCCTTGTCCGAGCCCTTCCTAGACTCCAGGACTGGCCCATGTTCCTCCCCACTGTCCAATTCTGCTGCCAGCTCTGCAGGCCACCAGCGGACCACAACACTAGGCAAGAATAGCAACAGCAATAGCACTTAGACTTATATACTGCTTCACAGTGCTTTACAGCCTCTCTAAGTGATTTACAGAGTCAGCATATTGTCCCCAAGAAATCTGGGTCCTTGTTTTATCAACCTCGGAAGGATACAAGGCTGAATCCACCTTGAAGAAGCTCTGTTGATGACAGTCATCTTTGAAAATGCATTTAGGAAGAGAGGAAGGAAATCGGAATTTGTTTACTCCCGGAAAATGTTGTGCTGATCAGAAATCTTCTCCAAAACATCTTCTGCTCTTCGTCTTTTGCTATACCACTGGTGCCTTAAGGTTCTGTCGTTTCTTTCCAACCTATGCAAGGGAATTTTTGATGGGGTGGACCGGAGGCTAACATTGTTTAATTTCTCTAGTGAAGAAAAGATTACGAACCGCCCATCTTTCCAACGTGCCCTAAAGTGGAGAATTTGGGACTTCTGTGATATCAATAACATCCTGGAAGAAATCACAAAACACTTTAAAGGTAATACATGAGGATTTTATGCTAACTCCTACGGCCACCCAGAGCCTTTGACGCATGGCAAAGTTTTAGTTGTGGGCAGCAGTGAATTTGCTGAGACTTCAATTTAAGAATTTGGTCTGCTTATATGTGGCTAAATGTTACCAAGACTCCATGGAAAACTGATTTCAGCATTAAAAAACCCAATTGCGTGAGAAGAGGCACACAAATATCTGTAAAATTAAATTAGGAATGAGCTTCATGTTATTGTTGTAAGATCTGTCTTGCACATGATAGAGAAATGCTTACTTCTTTTCCTGTTGTCTTTTCAGATACTTTGCTATCTGGTCTTCAGCTTCAGAAAGGTAACCCTGGGGAGAGGGGAATTGGTTAAAGCAAAGTGGGCTGATTTTTCTCTTGGCTAGATCATTTAGTTAAAATGGAGACCTAGACCAGGGGTATCAAACTCAAGGCCCGTGGGCCACATCCGCCCTGCGGGGTGCTTAAATCCAGCCTGTAGGGCTGGCCTGGAAATATCAAAGGACTGGCCCATGGTGCCCATGGTGCCTCTGGTGGCTAAAACAGGCTGTCTGCTGACCAAAAATAGCCCCAAATGGCCAGAAAATGGACTGAAAACAGCAGTGGTGGGATTCAAAAATCCCAACAACTGGTTTGCTGCCAGGTTGCTGTGTGGGCGGGGCCACGGTGGCGGGGCCTAAGAGAACTTCCTGTTTCCAACTTCCAGTAGGCCTGTAGAGCCCAGGGGAGGCCATTTTTACCCTCCCAAGGATTCAGAGGCCTCCCCTGGGCCTCTGGGAGGGTGAAAATGGCCTCCCCAGGATTGGGAGGCCCTCCAGAAGCCGGAAACAGGCCCGTTTTCAGACTTCCAGAAGGCCTGTTTTTCCCTCTCCCAGAGCCACCGTGCGGATCCTGCACCTACCTCCATCAAAAATGGACCGCATGGAAACTCCTGGGAGGGGTGGAGTGGGAGGGGCGGGGCCAGCTGGTTGGTTGAAATACCGGTTTGATGAACCAGCTGTAGCTTTAACATCCCTGGAAAACAGCACAAAAATGGGCCAAGAATGTCCCAAACTGGCCAAAAACAGGGCTGAAAATGGGCTGAAAAACAAGTGGCAGAGTGCTGCAGGAAGCCATGGAGGGTGAAAACGAGGCACAGGGGATCCACAGATGGACCCCACCCCCCACCCAGTTTTGGCCAGCATGTTTTTCAGCACATTTTTGGGCTCATATTTATAATAGGGTTATTTTTTTGTGATTTTCTGACAAGCAAAGTCAATGGAGAAGCCAGATTCACTTAACAACTATGTTACTAACTTAACAACTGCAGTGATTCACTTAACTGTGGCACCAAAGGTTGTAAAATGAAGCAAAACTCACTCAACAAAAGTTTCACTTAAACAACAGAAATTTTGGGCTCAATTTTGCTCGTGAGTTGAGGACTATCTGTAGTCCATGGGATGGTGGCAATAGTAGAGAAAGCTGCCTTCCTGAACCTCTTTAGCATTGTTTAGGGTTCATAACAACCTGTCCCACCTAGTCTTTGCTTGACCAGGTGGGACAGGTTGAAATAATGGGATGATGTTCCTTTTGGTCTCAACCTTACAGTTTAGCTAGTTTTGAATGCTGTCTTGTGTCAACTAAAAAAAAATACTTCTTTCGTCTTTTTAGTTGCCAGCAGAAAGGTAGTGTGGGAAAACAGTGCATTCCTTAAATGCTTCAGACAATCGCTATGGTAGCCGAAGCTGTTGGCACACAAGATTATTACTGGAAAGCATGATTGAGGACTCTTGGCTATGGATGTGTCTCATTGGAGAATATACATCCAGGGGGTGGGGGGAAGGCCAGGGCCAAGGGTGAAATGAATGATGTGTCAGAGTTGGCTGCAACGAGGAAACGCTGACATGTTAACTCCTAATAAATGAATCTTTTTTACTCTGAGAGATGCAGCTAGAGACTTATGATTTGAATAGAGGTGCATATTGGAGCCTTGACATCTTGTTTCCTTTGTGATTTTGTATTTCTTGCCAATGAATTGTATACTGCTAATCCTTGTCTTACTACCATTTATTTAGCAATATTCCGAAGTTACAATGGTCTTAGAAAGAGTGCTTTATGAACTGTAAACATTTCCAACTATTGCAAATGTTGCAAAATGTTACACACACACGCACACACTGCTCCCGAGCTTATGGGATCAGTATATGGGTAGTTGACAACCAGCTTGCAGCTTACAACTGTTTGAAGCAGCCCATGGTCACAATTTGTAACAGGTTTCTTTTTTGCCAGTTTTTGACAAAAGACAGCACACTGGGGAAACCGGGTTCACTGAATGGCCATGTGATTTGCTCAATGACCTTGGTGACTCATTTTAAGCCATCATAAAAATGGTCATAACATTGCACCCAGTCACATGGTGAATCAACTTAGGACTTCAGTGACTTACAAAATAAGTGCTGGCCCCTACTGAAGTCGTAAACCGAGGATTACCTGCACACCATCCCGAGTTGCATCGCTTGAGTTGAGCAGTGCTATTGATGCTCTTAAGTAAATAGATATAAAGGAAAAGTCTTGATGAAGAATGAGCCCTTGTTCAAGAAATCCCTTTTAAATGAGGGAGAATTTGATTCTTGTGATTTTGTTTTTAAGGGTAGGGTGCCGTGGTGGGATTCAGTTTTTTTTTACTACCGGTTTTGTGGGTGTAGCTTGATGGGCATAGCTTGGTGGGCGTGGCAGGGAAAGGATACTGTAAAATCTCCATTCCCTCCCCACCCCACTAACCTGCTTTCCAGCTCCATTCTCCTGTGCAGGGCAACCAAAGAAGACCCAGCTGATCAGCTGGGACTCAATGGGAGGCAGAGAATAGATGGGGGCGGGGCCAGTCAGAGGTGGCATTAGCCCGTTCTCCGAACTACTCAAAATTTCTGCGACCGGTTCTCCAGAACTGGTCAGAACCTGCTGAATACCCACCTCTGGTGGGATGGGTATTTCTACTTCAGATTAAAGTTACTTTGCTTCCCTTTCTTGATCATCTCCCTCTCTCCATGAACAGCAAACATAACCCTGGATCCAAACACGGCTCATCCCCAAATCACCCTGTTCCTGGATGGGAAAACAGCGGAACTAGGCGAACGTTGTCAAGAATTGCCCAACAATCCTGAAAGATTTGACTTACTGGCTGCGGTGCTGGGACATGAAGAATTCAAGGAGGGCCGGCATTTCTGGGAAGTCAACGTAGAGAGTCAGAAAGAATGGGCAGTGGGGATTTGTCAGAAGAGTGTGAAAAGGAAGGATTCGTTCTCCTTGAATACAGAAGAAGGGGTCAGTATGCTGGGAAGATGGAGAGGTAATTACAGATTCTCCCTCCCACCTAGTCCTCTTCCTCACATCCCGGACAAGAAATTAAAAAGAATCCGGGTGTGTCTAAACTGTGCTGCCGGGAAGGTTTCGTTTTTTGACGCTGAGACTGGAACTCTGCTCTACTCAACAACTTCCTTTCCAGGAGAGAACGTTCTTCCCTTCTTTTGGCTGGGGTCATATGCCCAGCTCAGCCTTTGCCAATGAGACCTTCCAGTGGGGCCCCTGTAAGAATTCCAGATGTTGGCACCAACCCTTGTTTCCCTTTCTTGCAGTTGGGTTTTCTCGATGTTCAGGAAGAATGCATCACACACATACACACAATAAAGCAATATAAAGCAGAGCCGTAGTGGCACAGTGGTTGGAATGCAGTACTGCAGGCTACTTCTGCTGACTGCCGGCTGCCTGCAAATTTGGCAGTTCGAATCTCACCTGGCTCAAGGTTGACTCAAGCCTTCCATCCTTACGAGGTGGGTAAAATGAGGAGCCAGATTGTTGGGGAGCAATAGGCTGATTCTGTAAACCGCTTAGAAAGGGCTGTAAAGCACTGTGAAGTGATATATAAGTCTAAGTGCTATTGCTATTACCGGGAGTCCTCGATATATGACCAGTTCAAAATGAGTGGGTCCTTCACGGTTCAAACCTGCAGCTCCTGACAACATTGCTTAGACATCAGTCTCCCACACGTACATGCAACCACGCTACATGTCTGGTATATACCATTTTCTTTTGTGAACATTTTGAGGCCTTCACTTATTTTAAGATCCAAGCTGAACTTATTCTGCAGAATCTTCCCAGGCCAGGTGGTGAGATGGGTAGAGGCCTTTATTATGTAGAATACTCTGGCCTTGGCCTTAATGACCTATTAGAAATGTCTTTTTATCCCTGTCTTTATTCGTTTAACAACAAATTAAAATTATGACAATGCTGAAAAAAGTGATTTAGAACCTGTCCTCAAAGTTATGCCCATTGCACTGTCCCTATAGTCGTGGGATTGTGATTTGGGCACTTGGAAACCGGCTCGCATTTATAATCATTGTGTCAGGATTTGGGGTAACAGGCAGTTACCCCAATTAAATCATGAGTCCCAAGCCAAACTTCCAAAACTTCAAAAGGATTTATTGGGAGTTAACATGTCCAGCACTGCCTGGTGTAGCCAACTCTGAGACATATAATTCGCTGTCACCCTTGACCCTGGTTTTCCCCCCACCCCCTGGGTGTATCATAATTCATATTGTGACACATCCATAGCCAAGAGTCATCAATCATGCTCTCCAGTTAGAATTTTGTGGGGGAGAAACTTCAGTCCCCTAGTTACTATCATTGAAAACTATTTATGGAATGCACTTTCAAACCCCTTTCCCCCCTCCCTTTTGGCAACTCTAAAAAGACCATAGAGATATTTTATGAGTTGACACATTGCAACATCCGGTAGTCACGTGATCACAATTTCCGACCTTCCTACCTGACTTTTGACAAGCAAAGTCAGTAGAGGAAATAGGATCGTCTTAACACGATTTGGTTAATGACCCTGGCTAGAAAATGGTTGTAACATCAGCTGTGGTCCCATGATGACCCATTTACTGACCATGTCACTCAATTATGAATGTTTTGGCCCCAATTGTGAGAACTGAGCTGAGAATTATGTGTAATATAATTAATTAGTTTTAAGCATTTTGTGTCACCTGTAGCCTACTGCCCAGCACTAATAACTGGATAGCTTCCAATCACTTCCATACCTATACATTTTTTGAGCATTTTTTAAGCCTAACTTCATACCAAAGCATCTTTATTTTATTAAAGATAGCAAATGCCATTTCAGGATACCAAACCCAATCAAGATATTTTTTTTAAAAAAGGTATTAACAACAACGCCAGAACATCTTTATATTGTAGTCATAGATAAAAAAGCTATATAGTTGTGTAGCAGCAATTTGTAGCAGTCAAACATGAACACATAACAAAAACGATTAAATTAGGGCAAAATGAAAGGAAAAAATGGGTTAATGAAATGCAAATGGTAGAGGGCAGAAAGGTGAAATACTTAAGACCAATCACCACGTTATTCAAGTGTTTTGCAAATGCGCAAAAAGCCCCATACAAAATAGAATAATAAATTTTAAGATCGACTTGCCAAATTGCATGTATTGTTTTTATTCAGGTTAATAATTATTAATAATTCCATGGCCCTAAAATGAAGGCAAAGCAAGCCTGTTAGAAAGAACTATATAGCTGTACAAACTTCAATAAAGTAATAATGAATCAACATCCATTAAATGCCCTCTCTCATATTGACTCAGGTTGTAGGAACTATTCCCCATAATAAACACCTCTCACCATCTGCTCAATTGCCAACACAATTCTCCTGCATGTACTAAATATTTAGAACTTCTGAAAAGGAAAATATTCTGGACAGGTTTCCCCGTGCTTTGCCACCTTCATTCATTACTGCCCCCTGCTGGCTATCTGAAATTGGCATAGTCCTAATCAACTTACCTGTAAAGCAGGAATGTCCAACCTTTTGACTTGCCTGAAGAGAAATTGTCTTCAGACACCAATGAAATGTGTAATATAGTGACGTATATTCATACATAATGTTAAAAGTTTATGACAGTGGTGGCTAACCTTTTTGGGCTCCTGTGCCAATAATTGCGTGCACGCTTGCGCATGTTAGCACCCAGGAGGCAATGTACACTGGTCCCCCTGCATGAGCCACACATCTCTGCATGTGCACGTATCTCCCACACACACCCCGCGCATGCGTGCCAGATCCCTGGGTGTGCAGTGCACATGCATATGCAGTAGACCTGCTCTAGGTGAGGGCTCGCGTGCTGGCAGTAATGGCTCTGTGTGCCATCACAGGTTTATGATATTGTGGGATGTCATTACTAGCAGTCCAAGGCTGCACACGGTCCATGGACCATAGATTGGATGCACCTACCCTAAAGACTTCCTTTTACCTCCCAAGTGCCTGCAGCAAATACAGTTAGTTCTCAACTTGCAACAGTTCATTTAGTGACCGAAGTTACAATGACACTGAAAAAATGGACTTAGGTCCATTTTTCACACTGATGACCGTTGCTACACCCCCACGGTTGTGTGATTTTCAATCGGATGCTTGACAAATTGTTCATATTTGTGACGGTTGCAGTGTTCCGGGATCATGTTTTTGTGACCTTCTGACAAAGTCAAGGGGGGAAACCAGGTTCCCTTATAACAACTGTGTTACTAATTTAACAACTGCAGCGATTCACTTAAACCAGTGTGGCAAGAAGAGTCATAAAACGGGGTGGGGGGACACTCACTCAACACTCACTTTCTTGCTTAGCAGCATAAATGCTCGGCTCAATTGTGGTCGTAAGTCGAGGAGTACCTGTAGAATAGACAGTTCTAAGACATTCCTTTTAATGTGCATCGCTCATTGTGCACTTGCTTACTCCCTTGTAATTTCTTCCTTTCCTGCGAGGGTAAATAACAAGCATTAATTTCCTCTTGCTACAGTAGTCAGTTCAGAACTGAGCTGGGATTCCCTAGGGTGGCAGAATAAGGAAAAAAGCTATGAGATTTATTCCTCTTTCCCAACTTCCTTTGTAAATCAAGTTCCAGAACATGAGCCTTCCTCAATCCTAGGGCTCATCTGGCTCTTTGCGGTCTTATATTTCCGATGCTGTAAGTATGCTCAGGGTTGATTTCTTAATAAACCTTTTTCAAGATTTATTACCATCCTGCGTCTCCCTTTGTGTTCTTTGTGCTTTGGCGCCTGTCCTGCAAATTCTACATTACGCCTTGATGCACAGATTGTCTGTGCACAGATATTGTCAGAAATGGTGTAGGGTCTCCCGCTTGGGCGGGGGGGGGTTGGACTAGATGACCTACAAGGTCCCTTCCAACTCTGATTATCTGTATCTTATACAATGGAGTGGGAAATGCTCAACAGGCCCTCTCTGGATGCGAGATCAAGGGGGATGGCTTCAATTTTCCTGATGGGAAGCGTCAATGCCACTTTATAATGCTTTAGTAAGGCCACACTTGGAATACTGCATCCAGTATTGGTCGCCAGGATGTAAAAAAGATATTGAGACTAGAAAGAGTGCAAAGAAGAGCAACAAAGATGATTAGGGAACTCTCCTAAAACATGAACGGTTGCTGGAATTGGGTGTATCTAGTTTAATGAAAAGAAGGACTAGGAGTGACATGATAGCAGTCTTCCAATATCTCAGGGGCTGCCACAAAGAAGAGGGAGCCAAGCTATTCTCCAAAGCACCTGAGGGAAGGACAAGAAGCAGTGGGTGGAAACTAATCAGGGAGAGAAGCAACCTAGAACTAAGGAGAAATTTCCTGACAGAACAATTGATAAGTGGAACAGTTTGCCTCCAAAAGTTGTAAATGTTCCAACATGGGAAGTTTTTAAGAAGAAATTGGAAAAACATTTATCTGAAATGGTACAGGGCCGTGATGACGAACCTATGGCATGTGTACCACAGTTGGCACGCAGAGCCATTTGTGCGGGCACGCAAGCCCCAGCCAAACTTACCTGCACTGTGCAGGTGCATGCGCATGCCTCCCAGCTGATTTTCGGCCCATTTGAGACCGTTTTTGCCCTCCGGGGAGCTTCGGGAGGCCAAAAAATGGACCTGTTTGCTGGGTGGGTGTGTCCTACTGGAACTTCCTGTTTCCGGTGGGCCTCCAGAGCCTGAGGGAGGGCGTTTTTGCCCTCCCAAGGGTCTGGAGGCTTCCCCTGGGCCTCTGGGAGGGCGAAAATGGCCTTCCCCAGGCTCCGGAGGCCCCCTGGAAGCCGGAAACAGGCCTGTTTCCAGACTTCCGGAAGGCCCATTTTTTCTCCCTCCCAGAGCCTCTGTGTGGGACCTGCATCGAAAATGGGTTGTATGGAGACTCCTTGGTGGGGAGGGGAGAGGAGCGGTGGGGGGGGCAGCCGGTCAGTTGAAATACCAGTTTGGCGAACAGTTGTAACTTTAACATCCATTTCGCTTGAACCGGTCTGAATCAGTAGAATCCCACCCCTGCTCCTACCCATATCCCCAATTCCTAGGGGTGAGATTCAAAATTTTTAACAACCGGCTCTGTGGGTGTGGCTTAGGTGGTGGGCATGACTTGGTGGTCATGTGACTGGGTGGACATGTCTTGGTGGTCATGTTATTGGCTGGGTGTGGCCAACTCAACATCACTCACATCAAGGCACACATCTCCTCACATGGACTGTGGGGATGCTGCAACAGTCGTAATTGAAAAATGGTCATAAGTCACTTTTTTCAGTGCCAAATGGTCATAAGTCACTTTTTTCAGTGCCATTGTAACTGAATGGTCACTCCACAC